ATGGAGCTGCCCCTACAGCAGCATGTGAGGCTGCTGACATTCTCCTCTCCTGTGGCCACCAGCACCCAGCTAAGGCTGCAGCGAGCTGTGAAGTGATGGGAAGCACCTGTTGTGCTCAGATATCAAGGGAGTCCCATGCAGTGCCATCAGCATATCCAGCGCTGGGGACCATGGCTGAGGATGTGCATCTCTCCTCATTTCTGAGGCAGTCGCTCGTGCTCCCTCAGCCCCAGCTGCTCTGTGCGGTTAATCCTCCCCAGTCAGGATTTTCAGAGTGGCACCATGTTATTAAAACGTGTGAAAAACTTCTCCCATGCAGAAATAAAAGTGTCAGGTTGGAAACAAGGGCGAGTGGAGGATGAAACTATGTGGAGGAGGCACAGGCGTGCAGGGTCCCTCCCCAGCAGCAGCTTTTCTGCCATTGCGTTCAGCTGAACTGCATAAAATAACTTACAGTTTAATTACAGGGGCTCCTGCTTGTTGATGTCATTAATGAGGCAACTGGCTTAATTTAGCTGAATAAAAATTGCTTTAATAGTGGAAACACTGTTGGCTAATTGAGGGGAAAAAAAACCAAACCATGCTGTCCTCTCTTCACTGAAGTTCCCTTGTTCTGGGCCACACTAATCCAGACTCCTTTTTGTCCCACACCCACACATCCCCCTTTAAACCCAGGAGCTTGTTCAGGAGATGTACCTCCATGGTCCCATCTGTCACTTGTGCTGGGACAAAATGGAAAGGTGACCTCCCCTTCCCTGCTGGTCACCAGGAAGTGCCTGCAGGGGCTGTGGGAGAGTGTGCAGGACATGGCGTGTCCCCTCCTCAAATGTAGGAGGAGGATGGAGGGAGAGAGCAAGAGCTAGGATTTAGCTGTCACTCAGTGATAGCAGCCTTTGTTTGAGGTGTGGGAGGGTTGCTGGTAGAGAAGATGGTGGGGATAGGGCATGATGAGCCACCTGCAAAACAGGAGCCTTAGGAGCACGGTTGCTGCAGCAGGAAGATTGTGAAGTGGTTTTGGGTCTGAGTCATGGGTGGGATCAGTGGTTGCTGCCCTGGATCTGGTCTGAGGGCCATCCAACACCCTCTCCCTTCCCAACTCCTTTAAAACCTGCTCTGGAGGCAAAAAAGACCCTGGCAGCTATTTCTAAAGACTGTCTCTGTGGAAAAGAGCATCTTGTGAGTGATGGAGAAAATGTCCCATGGCAAAGAAGCAGTTTGAATATGTTCCAGGAGCACTGATGGCAGGTCTGTCCTGAGAGAGACTTGTTCATCACTGAGAAATACGCAGGGAAGGCATTTTGCTTCCCTCTGCCTGTGTTTCCTCGACGTGTGATATGCCATATTTTATTACAGGTGGAGCTGATGCATAGGCTGTTATAAAGGTTGTCTGGCACACTTTCCTGCAGGACTGCTTCCACTTTCCTATAACTCTGCCAAATTTTAATTGCTCAGGCTGAAGTTTTCTGTGTTGGGTGTCTGCTCCTGGCTGAATTCTACATTTTATTGTTATTTCTTCTCGTTTCACATAAGAACTTTCTCAAGTGCTTGAGTTAGTGGAAGGGAGGGGGGGAAACAAGCTGTTTTGCTCAAACTGGAAAATACTGGTTATGCTCCTGTTACAGAGCAGCTGCATCTTCCTTTTGTGGAGGAGCAGAAAGTTTGTCAAAGAGCAGATTTTGCTTGGAAGACTTGATTTTGCTTTGGGACATCTTATGTCAGCAGAATGGCTTTTGATCCAGTTGGAGGAAGAAGTGTAATAAAGGATGTTTGGGAGCAGATAGGGCAGAGGAGGAGCAACAGTTCTTGTTGGGACACCGGGGTTGGGCTGGGAGGGTGTAAAAGTAGGGAAGATCATAGGAAATTTGGACATGGATAAGGAAATTGGGGCTGAGAAGTATTTGGGAGTGGTTGTAGAGCGATGAGTAGTATGATTCATCCTGCTGGGAGGGGGAAGAAACCAGGTCAGGAAGGAGAGAGCTGGCACTGCCCAGCCACAGCACAGGAGGATGGAGGTTCTTGTCACTGCAGACAAGAAGGATTTGGAGGTGGCAACAGACTTTCAGCCTTGGAAAGAGCTGCCAAAAGGCAGAATGGGCAACTGGAACTGTGAGAGAACTAGCCCTGGCTGAGAGTGCCTTTATTTTCCCCAGTTCTCCCTGTTTGTGCTGTACAGAACACTGGGAAACTTGGTGCAGACAAGGTTTGAGCACAGGGGGAACCTTGCAGGCACCAAATAGGATTTACAAGTGCTGGAGCTCAGAGCTTCACCTGCAGAGCTGTAATTTAATCTCCTCCTGTGAATGTACTGTGATTCCATCTCTAATTACAGAATCACATGCTACCTTCCCTGTGAAACCTGCCCCATCCAGCATGTGGGGATGGATCTCTTCTGGGGAGAAATCAGTGCTGTGTTGTGAGGTTTCTCTGGAGGAGCTTTATCTTTTGCAACAAAAGTCAGTAGCTGTACACTTTGTGCAATCCCAGTCCTGGCATCTCTGACCTTTGGAGTTTTTGTGACTGAAATGATGTATTTTTAATGTGTGTTTGTGTGCAACCCATTTCTGTTTCTGTGCTGAGGTCTGTCTCTGAGGCTGAGGAAGGACCTTTCTGACATTTTGCATGTCTGAGGTGTCTGTTTCCGATGATAAACATGTTCTTCCCCATGTGTGTCCTGACTGATCTGAAATCAGCTGTGGGTGTGTGTGCCCTGACCAACCCTGCAGAAGTTGATGGTCAGGTCAGATTGAACAGCAGCTTTGCCATTTGAGAGCAGAGTCTCCTGCCAGATGTGTGCAAGGGAAGACCCACCTCCTCTTTGCCTAAAGCTGTTGTGGGTTGTTGTCTGGGGGAGGGTGGAGCTGGTAAGAGTTGGTTTCCAAGGACTGCAGGAGATGAGAAGCGGAGCACATCTGCCTGGCAAAGCTCCTTGCATTAGTGGGGTTGTATCCTTTCTCCATCTCTCTGTGTCCTAAATTGTAATAACACGATCATGCTATTTTTGATTCCCTTATTTGCGTGGAAAGCCTGTTGTTTTTTCTCTTCTCTTTCAGAATCCAATTTTCTCTTGACATTTCTGCCTAATGTAGCAAAACATGACCTTTGAGAAAGGACATTCCAGTGAGATTCACTCCCTCCTCTGCATCTCTGCCTCTCTCCCACATCTTGCTGTCTCTCATGCATTCCCTTTACGTTTCCTTCTTCTCCCTGGGCTGGGGGAGGGAGTTTACTGTCTCACTTTTCAGTAACAGTGAGCTGCTCCTTCCCCTCCTACTTTTCATCTGTCTTTGCAAAGTTTCCAGGTGCTCAGCGCTTTGGGGTGGATAAAAGGGGGACTCTTGTAGTATTTTTATTCCTCCCTGCTTGGCTTCACCTGCCATTTTTGCCACCTTTATCAGAGGCTGGAAGCAGTTTGTCTATAGCCATAGGAATGGTGGGATCATAGTCATGTGAAATGAGGTACCTGTGGTTTGCCGTGGTTTCAGCAGCGGGGTAGTCTGATGTGAAGCAAGAGCCAGAATTTAATGAGGCAGCGCTGTGCCATCGTGGTGTTTGGGATTATTCTTCTGCCAGGCTCGTGGAGAGCCTTTGGGACGATGCTTTGCTGTGTGAGCAGCTTCTCCACTCCTAACTGTAGAGTTCTGGGCTTTGCAGCATTGCTTGTGCAGGTGGGACAGGACAGAATTGCTTTTCCCTTGCTGCAACCTGGTGTAAGGCAACAAATAAATCTGTCATCCCAAATCCTCGTGCATCAGACTTGTGCCAGCAGGAACCATTCAGGGGTTTGCTCTCTTGGTTTTACCATGTTTCTGCAAATTAAACAGGGACTGGGAGCCAAGTCATTGGGGCTGTCCACTGTCACTGCTGTGCCACCTTGTCTCATACCTCCTGCCTGGCCAGCCTGGAGTTGAATGAACCTCCAGGTGTTTGGTGCCTCTGACCCTTCCTTACTCTTCCCAGCAGGCAGGGCTGAGGCAGAAGGGTGTCTGCAGCCTTGCACTGAACTGCCCTGCCTGCAGCTCACAGTGGGGATGGATTCGGTGAAGGGTGTGAGGCAGCACCTCCTGTGTGTTCTGGAGGCCAGCAGAGATTGGAACATTTGGTTTTCTCCCAGAGCTTGTGACCACCCATCCCTCTGCTTCCCCCATGGACTGGTCGCTCGGTCAGGGGCCCTCAGGCTGGCTGGGTGTTCCTGGGAAGGCTGCCCACCACAGAATGTGCTTTATTACCATCTTCTTAATCTGTTGGAAACCCAGTGATTTCCTCTTTCTGCTTTCCTACCCCAAACACATTTAGGTTTGTTGTGTTTTTTTTTTTTTCTTTTTTTCTTAATTCAATTGCTTTTCACTCTTTCATCCTCTCTGGCTTTCAGCTGAAGAGATGTCTACTGGGTTGCAAAGCTCTCCCAGGTAGATGAGATTTATGTTTTTGCAAGTTTGGGCAGATGGAGAGAGGGATGGGGAGCTGTTGGCTGCTGTAGCAGTGGTACCCCTGGGTGCAAGCAACACACAGTCATACCGGGACACCTGGAGCTTACAGCTACTGCAGATCATTTGATAACACCTTGGGTAATCAGCGTACTGTCATTTGAACCTGGCTGTTACTATTTTTAACGTGAGGTTTGTACTTAATTTTTTTTGTTCAAGTTCTGAAATTAGACTTGTTCTTTTTGCTTATGGTTGGTTGAACTCCAGATTCATGGGCAAGAATCAGACACTGTGTTTTGTTTTTTTTTTTTTTTTTCCTCACACTACAGCAGGATATAAATCATTTTTCTCCTTAAAAAAAAAATAAAATGAGAAACTTTCATTTAGGTTTGTCCTCATTAAAATCTCTCATTATTAAATCTAAACTTGCATGCTGAACTGCTTGATGGCATCCCTGTTGAGGAGGACGATGAGATCTGTGGAGGTGGTATGGCCACGTGCAGGAAGAACTATTTACTGTGACTACTTCTTTTTTTTTTTTTTTCTTTTTTTATTTTTTTTCTTGTTAATTTTCAGAGACCTCTCCGGGAACCGCCTCACCACTCTGTCATGGCAACTCTTCCAGACCCTGCGACTCTCTGAACTGTAAGTCCCGCCCTGGGGTTGTCTCCTGGGAGAAGAGGGGAGGACGAGAGGAGGAATGATATCCAAATAAAGCTATTTTGAAGCCTGTGAATGATTACCTAAAACTCCAGTGGGCAGCACCATCCTTGGAAGGGTTTCCTGGGTACAGGAGCAGCAGAGCAGAACTGCTTCTCTTTTAACTTCACAGCAGCTGGCTAATTAACGTCGGGATGATGAACATGCTTGGGGTGGTAAACGGTTGACTAACTCTGGGATCACATTAGAAATACTTACTAGGGCAGATTTTGAGTGAATCTTTTCAAATACTTGCTCTTCATCTGTTGCAGGGTAGGAATAACTGGTTTTCTTTAGTTGGTAGACACGCTTTGTAAAATACCCTGGATTTTTAGGAGAATGGTTCCCTTGCTCTCTAACAACAGAGGCACCTCCCAGCTCTGATGTGGGAGATGGTGAGATAGTGACTCTCCTGGGGCACTGGTGGCCTTCAGCCTGCTGAATTATTGATAGAGCATTCAGCATCGTGCTTGAAGAATAAGTGGACACGAAATCAATGGAGCGTTGCCCTGATGACCTGTTTTGTTGAATTTTAGAAATAGTTGTTTGGTGGGTATAAAAAAATATATATGTAGGATTTGTCCCAGAGGATCCTGGGAAGCTCCATTCATCCTCACCAATGATCAATAGAGCTGTAAGCTAGAAGTGACTTATGAAAGAATAAAGACAGTCTTTCAAGTGGGAGTAAGTGTGTTATCACCGGTGTTACTGCAGTGTATTTTATTTCTGTCAAATTGTTAAATGAAAAATACTAATAGTGATATTAGAAAATAGAGAAACGCCCTTCTGATGGGAAAATTTGGCTTGCAGAGTTAAAACGCTGAATTTGGAATTTGTCTCCTCACTGATTACAGCTCTAAATATTTTTCAAGTCTGGCTCGGGTTTCAAGTTTAATAGCATGAGTCATTTGTATTCTTAGACCTTTACTTATTGTCATTGTGCTGTCTGGCAAAACTCAGATTGATGGTTGTTACCCAAGAGAGACCCAAGAGTGGAGGAGCAAATGGGGCTGCAGTCCTGAGCTAGTGGCACTGGCAGGGCCTGGGGTAATGGTGAGCCTGCAGATTAATGGGAATAGTTCCAGTGGAGCTCATTTTTATGTGCCTTTGCTCATATTTTGTTTCTTCAGGCACGTCCCAGGTCTGGCAGCCCCCGTCAGGCTCAAAAGACCAATACCAAAAAAAGGGAATTGAGAAGCTGCTTTTGGGGCAGCAAAGGGTACTGTACCTGATGAAGAATACGTCTGTGTTCTCCTGATATGATGATCCTGACAGGGAGCTGGTGTGCTTGGGGTGGCTTTGGTTGCTGTCAGCAGGGTCACTTGGGGCCAGCACTCCACAGCATGGCAAGTGGGAAGGAGCTGAATTACTTGGCTCCAGTTGGAGCTGTGCTCAGAGCTGTTTTCTTGGAGATAACAAGCCCCAACGAACGAAGGAAATAATACCTGTAGAACTGTGGGAGATCACAGGGCTGGTTGGAAGGAAGTTGTGGTGGAGTGGGAAAGCAGCACCGATGTGGTGTGTGTTGTCCGTGGCGTCGTGTGGGGCAGGAGCCTCAGCTGAATCTCTCCTGCTCCAAGTCGTGAAGGGGGTCTTGGCACCAACTCCAGTGAGCAATTTAGACCTACAAATGTGCCTGCCCACAGGGCCTGCCTTGCTAAGCTGGAGTTAGAGCCTGGTCAACTTTATTTTTCCTGAAGAATTACTTTGTCACTGGTACTTCCTGACAAATGTTCCTCTCTGAGCTCCTTGTCATTAAGAATCCTCCATCCATGTAAGCACAGCTGGGATGGAGACTACCAGAATAATGTGATGATGCTGTTCCCCAGACATGACAGGAGAGGGGTATTTTACCTGATGGCCACAGGGATCTCAGTGCACAGGGATGTGCCTGTAGTGTCCTTCCTTGTTCTTCCTGCGGTCATGAAACTGTCCTGCTAAACCTTGGATTTCTTAGAAGGAAGGCAGCACAGAGGTGTAACCTGAGCTATGGGCTCTGAATAATAATTCACATAAAGATATTGGAAATTAAGGTAAAGGCATATGTTGCCTACATGGTGCTAGAAGGATGGGACCTGTTGGTGAGAAAAAGCAATTCTCCAAGGTAGTGAGGAATTACTAATGGATGTGCAAAAGTGGGAAATAGGGTATTTTATTAATTTTTTTTTAGAAATGCAGAGGATGGGTGAGTAAGAGACAGTTTTTTGGCACACTGAGCTCCAAAGAGGCTTCCAAAATCAGGAAGGAGATGGAATACATGGCCCACATAAAGTGAGTGTGAAACACTGGTGAAAGCTAGAAAAGGAGTTGCAGATTGACATCAGCCAAGGACTTGAAGTTGAGCCAAAACTCTCTGGAAAGGGAGAAGGTGGTGAGCAGCAGAGACTGATAGAGAAAGTTAGCCCGAGGAAGGCAAGCTGAGCAGCAGTGTTTGGGCACAGCAGTGGAGAGGCCAGAAGACTCCAGGGACACATAGATGCTGACTCTTCTCCAGAGGGTTAAGGCAGTGTGGAGGGCTGTGGGACAAGCACATTTGCAGTGGCTCACCAGAGGCACCTTGTATTAAGTGTCAGTGCCCCTGCGCTACCAGGCAGTTGTGGATCCAGAGGGAGGTTAGTCATCAAAGCTGAAATTGTGACTTAAAACAAGGCAGCTTGGAGTAGTGGAGCATGTGGTGAGGGAACTGATGGGAGGATTGTCTCCAGGAGAGTGTTGGGAGGAGAGGAGCTACAACTGATTGTGACATGGAGATTGCAAGGGAACATGAGACCTGATAAAGCCACTCAGAGTGAACAATGAGGAGGAAAGAGCAGAAGACTAATAGGAAGACCAGATAGGTGGATGGGAACTTGAGGCTTGAAACTGCTGCTTGGCTGAATCCAAGGCATCACAAGCTCATGAAGGTGGTATTGCTTTAAAGAAGAGTTTCTTGTTCAACATAGCTGAGATTTTCCCCTGCTGACTCACTGAAGAAAGGATGGCAAAAATGAGGCACCCTTCCAGAGAATATTATCTCTTGCTCCTTCTGGCCAGAAACAAGGCTTGGAATGGTTTCCAGTAACTCCAGCCCTAATTCCCACAGCACGGGCTGACCTTGACCAGCAGGGCTCAGGCTAATGAGCACACAACTCTCCTAAGTCTGAAGCTGAGTGTGTGCAGGGAAGCATCTGACACATGCAACAGCTCATAAACATTGGACTTAGAGCCTTTCTTATCCAGAAGTCACAGCTGGTTTCCTCTGTCATGTCCTTGGCTTCCTCTGTCATGTCCTCAGAGAGCTTAGGGCTGACATTTCAAGAAATTCCTTCCCGGAAAGACCTAAGACTCTGGATCCAATTACGCCTTTGGTTGTATAAAACCTTGTAGTCCTGAACAACTTGCCGCTCTGCCTGGCCTATCAGCATTTCTAATACCAGCAGTCCCTGCCAGCTTGCCCTGCAGTATATTTTTGCAGTGCTCCAGGAAGAGGTGGTGGTGGGGATGGGGCACAGCAGCGTCTCTGTCAATGTTGTGAGTCCAGTTTAACATCGTCTGTGCCTCTAGCTTAGAAACTTCCTGCTGCCAACAGTCACACTAATAGAGCTGTAGCTAAACAGTGGGTACTTGCCTGCTCTGTGCATTAGCTAATCCAGCTGTCAGACAGCAACCATCACTCCATCGCTCCATAGAAAGTCCTTCCCGTTCTATTTCATTCCTTTCTGGCAGGGGTTCGGAAGCAGCATTGTTGCTTCTGTTGTTCTGGTTGGAACATCATGAGAAGCCCTGGTCCTGGGAAATAAATAGAAATAAAAAACGAAATTAGATTTTGTTCTCTCTCTGCTGAGTGCTGTTTGGTTCTCCAGCGTAGGCAAGTGGCCTCAGTCCCAAGGTAGGAAGAGTGTTTTAATTGCAAGTGTACAAAACCTTGGCAGCAGTTTCATGTGAATTAAAATAGACAGGAGAAGTGTGGCAAGGATCTCTGCTGCCCTCTGAGAGGCTTTAGCTGCAGACAGCTTTGCTTTAGCTGATGAGTGGGGAGGCATGGGACAGGGCATGTGTCTCATTTAGCTGCCTAGTCTGGGGAAAAACTGCTCAGTGTGTGTGAAGTTCTGTCTGTTTCAGTACATACTGGAATGCTGATGGCATTCACTCCCACACTGGTTCATCCTGGTGTAGGCTGTCCGTGCAGTTTTGGGAGACAGTGGATACAGCTTTCTGTAGGGAGCAAAAGTGTGCTCAGCCAGGCACCTGCAGAATCACTGTTGCTGAAGAGCTGACTTGGTGTCTCTATGGATCTACGGTTTCAGCTTTAATGGGTCATTGTCCCATCAAATGACAGTTCAGGGTATGATTGTTTTCCTCTTTCCCAAGGACAGTGTGCCTTTTTTGGGAAGGGGCTATGCCCAGAGCACACCCTACTGAAGCCTCTGCTTTGCCTGAGGCTGGTGGATGGCTCAGGCTTACATGCAGATTTCATCTCTTTTTGGGCCAACTCCTTGAGTCACAGAGCATCTCTGCTTGTGCAGAGAGAGCCCAGTTTGCTTGTGGCTGTGATGATACTTGCTATTTCTTACAGGCATTTTCAGTTTTAAGGAGGCTTGAAGAGGGTGTGGGAGTGTGCACCACTCCTGAGCACTTGCAACCAAGCAATGCTTTGGCAGTAATTGCAGGCTACATGCAAAAAAAAGCTCTTTGGGTTTATTTGTCTGCTCCAGGAGTAAGTTGGCTGTATACATCCCACGAGAAGGAGCCTGCCTTAATTCTCACTGCAGTGCCACTCCACCCATGGGATGGGAGATGTTTCTGCAGCACATGGCAATGTGTTTTGGCCCACCAGTGGGTTTTGTCATCTCATGGTTCCCAAGGCATTTTCCTCTTTGCAGAGAAGAGAAGGTGAATTTTTATCTCCACAAGCAGAGGGTTGTAGGTAGTGGAGATGTGTTACAGAAATGTGGGAGGAAGAGTTGGAAGGAACCACAGCTCCTAATGATCCCTGCAAGGGATGAGGTCTGAGCAGAGAATTGGATGTCCAGGTTTTTGAGCAGGTGCAGAACAGTGAAAACATGGAAATCCCCACACACCTCTCTGGAGAGCTGGCTGGCATAGCAGGGCAGGCACCAGGCAAGGAGGGCGGGCACCTTCCACATATCAAGAGTGCTTTTGGCTATGCACCTTAGGGAAAAAGGGTGCCCACATCTGTGCCCCTTCTACCCACGGTGCTGTGCCAGCTGCCAGTGGCGCTTGGTGCATCCAACCCGTGATGGGAGTTAATTTGCGCAAAAGCCCCTGTGGGGGTCTCGATTAGAGCGAGTTACATCGCTGACGTTGGGGCAGGTTGTGGGGAAGTTCTGCCCTGGAGCCCGCAGCTCCTGTATTATTCATGGCTGTTCATGAATTAGCAATGGGCCGGGAAAGCTGCTGTCTATTACTTACAGAGCTGCCCTTAAGTGCTAGGGCAGCAGCTCTCCCGGCAGCCTCGTTTTGTGATGAGATTTGCAGCAGAGCAGAATTTCTCCCCCGCTGCATCTGAGCTCCCCCAGCTCCCTGCCAGGTCCCAGGGTACGTCCCTGGTTACCTGATCTGCCATTAGCCAAGTCCATGGCTCTTACCCACATGCGTGTCCTGCTGGTAGCAGTGATCCTGGGAGGATCCCGAAAGGAAAGTGGATTCACGGCCGTGTAGAAGAGGTTGTGAAGCCTGTGCAAACCACCGGCAGTACCTGTCATAGCACACAGGGAATGCCTCATCACTCAAATCCCACCAAATCACTGTGCTAATCTGCTCTGGTCTGTTAAATTTAGTGCTTTGGCCTTTGAGTTGCTTGTCTGAGCCATGTACCTGTGTCACAGAGGTTTATGTGCTTTTGGTGGGAAAGAAATTAACTGATGAAAAACCACAGTGAAGTTCAACTCAGTGTTTGTTCTGGGGAGGGGGGGAGGGAATAAATTCAGATGACATCATGATGAATGAGAAGATTAGGGTTCAGTTTTAACAACCCCGGGTGCTACCAGAAGATCCCTTCCCTTCTTCCTCCTTTTGCAGCACAGTATTGACAAAACAGCAGCTGCAGATGTTTGGAAGGTTGTTTCCAAATCCTGTTAACTCGGTGAAATTAATTTTGTAAAAGCAAGCATGAATTTTGCAGTAACACGTGGAACAGAGCAGGAAAAAAAGCTTTTCCCTCTCTGATGGGGAATCCAGATATCACGTGAAGCAGTGGTTTGACCTTTGGAGATGACCTTCTGCTTTGGGGTGACTGAGCTCATCTTTGGCACTGCTGGCTCCACTGATCCCTACTTTCTTTGCTTTATAGTTATGCGGGGAGATATTTTGTTTCTTCAGGTTGTGTCTCCTGTTTTGCTCAAGTTGTCATTGCAACCTGCTTTGATAACTCAGTCTGCCCTGGCTGAACACTGGGTTCTTCTCCTGGCTGGGACTTGCCTTCCCTGCATGTCCACAGAGAGCTGCAGAGCTCTAAAAATGTAAATGAAATGGTTAATAGGTTGGAAAATCAATTATAATAAACATTCCTGGTATATAAACTGTGTGTAAGTGTGGTTTAAATGAAGTACATTAAAGGCAGTGCTTTTCTCCATTTCTCCTGGCCAGGTCAGCAGGGTCTCAGTGCAGTGCTGATTGATTTGATTAAAATGCATGTTACCTTGCACATTAGCTCATGTTCTGGGTCACCAGGAGCCTGTGTCTGTACAAGGAACTTGGGAGAAGAGCTGCCAGCTTCTCTGAGTGCTTGTGGGAGCTGGAGGTGTACTTTGCCCAGCAGGGGCTTGGACTACTGAAGTGGGGTTTGAAAGTGTGAATCAATATTTTAGGGCAGTGGGGAGCCACCTGCTCCTTTGCTAAGGGGTGACTCTTCTTGCTGTCCAGATGACACTGGGACTGAGCCACAACTGAGCAGGTATTGTGGTGAAAGACCTTGTGTGTATCCGTGTGCAACCCTGTAAAGCCTTGTGTGCACACGTGAAGGAGACTGTGAATGCATGGATGTGTAAGTGTGGGAAAGACAGGAATAGTAAGTGCCAGAATACCCCAGGCAAATAACATGGAGATGATTCTACCTTAGCTCTTACACCTGCATGGTGGCTGTCCTCCTCTGGGAGCCTGGAGCCAGGTGATGGCTCTGCTCATTCTTCCCCATCCCACCATCCTCTCTCACCTCCCTCTCCCCACAGGAGACTAGAGAGGAACCTTTTTAACTGCAGCTGTGACATTCGCTGGATCCAGCTCTGGCAGGAGAAGGGCGAGGCAAACCTGCAGCACCAGGGGCTCTACTGCATGACCATGGACGCAGCCATCATCCGTTTGCAGGACATGAACATCACCCAGTGTGGTAAGAATCCTGGGGCTGCACATGAGGGAGGCTGAGAGGGTGCCAGGAGGGCTCCCTGTGCTATCCAGCACTGCTGCTTCAGTTATTTGCTTGGGGAGCCTGGTGTAGCAGAATCTCACCATGTGGTTGAGAACAAGAAAACTGAAGCTGATTGTGGTAGTTTGTGGATTATAAATAGAGTATCTGGGTAAGTGTGAGACTGCTGTTAGTGTGTGTATGAAAGATACTGGGTGATCTGGGGCATTTTCTTCACTGCAATGCTGCTGCTTGACAAAGTGTCTGTGGTGAGTCTGTGATGTCTTGAAAAGGGCTGTTTCATGTTGATCTTCCTCTGTCTAACAAATCCTAGAAACAGCATATTGTTAAAAGACACTGCCACTGTATCTTTTATAATTACTCTTAGGGAATGCACGTCTCTGTTCATTTTCCTTTGTTTCAGTTGAAATCCCATATCTGTAGGGAAGAGCCAGGAGTGACTTTCTATCTCTTTATGTTTCCTGCTGATGTTTAAAAGAGTCCAGCAGCCCCAGGAGCAACATGAGGCATGTTCAATAGTTATCCCTTTTTCCTTCACCTTGTTCACACATCAACTGCCTGTTCGGTGTCAGTTTTTGCTCTGCTATTGCCATTACTGGAAAGCATCCCTTGCAGAGTAAGGAGAAAGAGATGTACCTTCTGCAGAGCAATTAAACTGCCTGTACACAAGCAACTGTCAAACTCACAGGCTGAAAAAAGGATGAAAACCAGAGGATTTCTTTTTTGATGATCATCCTCTATACTAGGGTTTGTTACTTGTAGCAGTAGTAGTTAAACAGCATGCACGTTTGGATTTGCATGACTTGGGTTTTTTTTGTTGTTTTGGTTTTTTTCAAGTTCATGATGGCCCCTTACACTCTGGAAATTGGCCAAAGTGTGCCTTCATGTGGATGAACTAAAAGGATTTGAGAGTGCTGTAATTTCCGCCCCATGTGGGAAGAATAAACTTCAGGGATTAGAAATAATAATAAAAAAAAAATCCTTAGGGATCAGGGACATGAGGAGAGGTGGCTCCATCAGTGGTGGTATTAGACTCTAGGAAACTCTAGCAGAGTGCTGATTTGGGAACACAGGTGGGCTGGTGTCCAGTATGAGCACCTCCTCTGACCATACAGTCTCCTGGAAGGGCAGGGAGCTATGCTGGTCTGCTTTCCTCCAGAGGAGAGTCTTTCTGTTCAAGCATTAAGACTCAAGGGATGTTGTAACAATATATGGTTTTGTCCTTTGGTGCTGGGGGCTGGCGTGGCTCGATGTGTCCATGTCTGATACCAGCTCAACCTCGAGAAGACCATACATGTCCCTCCCATCCCCCTCTCCACTGATTTCTACCATGTGTGCAGCTTTGCCAGGCCTTGACCACTGCCTCCTTTCTTCTGGCATCCCTCCACTCAGAGCAATGTTCCTTACCTCCTCATGTTACTCTCTGGTGGCAACAAAAGAATGTGTGTCCCCATCTGTGGCTTTGCATTCATGTGATGGATACTCCTTCCCTATGATGAGATGGGGCAGGACTACTGGTCAGTTCCTTCTGCCCTGCCTCCCCAATTTGCCTCTGAAAACATCCCAGAAAACCTCCCCTATCTGAGAAGACTATTTGCCCTTCTTGCAACCAGTGCTGTCTTGTTGCAAATTGCAAGGATATTTGGTGCCTGTGGCAGTGAGTAAGGAAGTGGTGTAAATCAGAACCGCCATAAATCAGTGAATCCCTCTGCTACCACCAGGGAAGAGCAAGGGCACCTTTTACTAGGAGAGCTGCAGTTAATATGAGGACACATCCTTGGTCATCTTCTCTTGATTGTTATAAATTAGAGGGACACTTTCCTCCCCTGGAGTGCTGGGTGTTCTGTGCTTCATCCCTGGAGATGGGGATGGTTTGGATCTTCTCGCAGTACACAGTTTTCTCATCCCAGGTTACTGCCATTGTGAGCAGCTTCTCAGGAGTAGCGAGATGGAGATGGGGGTTGTGTGAAGGGAAGGGTGGCCAGAACTGGGCACCAACTTTTGGATTCAAAGATGATCAGAGGGTTTGCTCAGCTGGCACATTTCCAGTGTCTACATTTCACCCTGTCTCCAACATACCTCTTTCCCTCAGTAGGGCAAGACCATGCTGTTACCTCCGGCTACTTATCCCAGGGTGCTGGAGGCTGATTTGGGAAACAGCTTGGTGGGATCTGAGTCCGTACGATAGTTCTGTGTCTGGCTATAGCAAAAGCTGCACCACACCTGAGCACTTTGGTGTTTGTCTCCTCTAGACCTTCCTGAGATCAGTGTGAGCCACGTGAACCTGACGGTGCGGGAAGGGGAGAACGCTGTCATCACCTGTAATGGCTCGGGATCGCCGCTGCCGGACGTCGACTGGACAGTGGCTGAACTCCACTCCATCAACACCCACCAGGTAGGGGCCACAGGACCTCAGTGCTGCCTGTGCCCCATGTGGCAGGGGAAAAGCAGCTGCCAGGGTTTCCCCAGGTCTGTGCATGCAGGGCAGAGGATCCAGGTAGATGGTAGAGACTGCTGTGAAAGATGTAAAATGGTTGTATCAATCGTTTCTTTCCCCCATGAGAACCTGGGGGCTACCAGAAGGGAGCAAAACCTTCCCTCTGTATGTCTGGAAATGTGATGCCTAATTGAATTAACTCATGTCTCCTTTAATGAAACCAACTGTTTGCAGAGGTGCCTGCAGTAGCTGTGGCTGAATTAAGCAGCTAAGCAAGATTTTCTAGAGGCAAAACACATTTATCAGTGCTACAATGCTATAGCTCTCCTCTTCCAGTAGTTTCTCTTATAAGATGTGGTGTGTTTGATCAGGTGAGGGAACACCTCTCTTCACACAGATCCTACTTGTCCTTGGGTTTTTGAGACCTTCTCACGTGTCACATGGAAAGTGTGATCCTCTGGTTTTGGGGGTCGTAGCAGAGGAGCAAGGAGCCACCAGACACCAACTTCTGTCTGTATTTCTCTTTGGGATTTTTAGACCAACCTCAACTGGACCAACGTTCATGCCATCAATTTGACCTTGGTGAACGTCACCAGTGAGGACAACGGGTTCCTGCTCACCTGCATTGCTGAGAACGTGGTGGGGATGAGCAATGCCAGTGTGCTGCTCACCGTCTACTGTAAGTACCCCTGGAGAGACCTTGTCCATACAGAGACTAGAGGGGCTGCCTTGGGAACTGTTTGAGTGCACAGCCACTTGCTACCTGTGACATGTTGGGTTTGTGAGTGAGGATTAGGAGGAGCTGAGAACAGTGAGGAGGAGGTGGATCCTCACACACCTCTCTCTCAAGCGTCAGGAATTCTGCTTTCCTGACACTTCCATCAATCCAGAAATGAGCACTAGAGCAGGGGAGGAGCATCAGTACCCCACTGGTGGTGGGCATCTCTCCACCCATCTCTTGGAAGATCCAGTAGAGTAAGAAAAAGCCATAAAGGGACTAAAAATCCATTTAAAAACACGGGATTGATTGCCCTGATGCTGTGTGAGACTTTCGGTGACACCTTTGCTAAAGACACTGATTTCAGGGATATTAGTGCTTCCCCCAGGTCTGTTCCTATAAATTTGGACTGCAAATGCCATGTAAATGTGCACATGTAAAATTTCAACTGTTCACTTTTATCTTCAAGTAGCTCAACTTTTTGTGCTTTCTAATATAACATAACACAAACCTGACCTTAAGAGGAAGTTTACACAGCTTTGTGGTCTCAAGCAGCTGAGATTTACTATATTTTGCTGTGTCTGTAATATTTGCCCCTACTCTGTAGTTTGAAAATCTGTCCCCCACCCCCAACCTAGCCAGGTAGAGTGGAGACCCATGTGGGATTCTGACTAGTCTTAGTAAACCCATGCTTGCTGTGTGATGCTTTACTACTTTCATCTTCCTCCCAGTAAGTGCTATTGATGGATTGAAGAATGGAGGTGATTAAAGCTCAGCTAAGAGGTGATTGGTCAGCAGGTGGGGGGTTTTTTGGATAGTGTTTTAGCATCTTTTCCTCCACACCTTAAACAGCACCATGGCTATGCCTATTTTCACCCATGAAATCCTCTAAGCTGCTGACAGTTTCTGCTACCCCTGCTCTTGTTGCCCAGACCCATCACTCAGGGCTGTAATTTCACACTGAAAAGATCTGGGTTTGTGCGTGTAGGTGGCTGCCTGTTTTGAATCCTCCCTGCCAGGAAGATGTGAACAAGCCACATGCAGATCTGGGCTTGAGAGTGAAAGAAGGTGGCTGGGACATGACTGTGTGGTTCAGGGTAGATGGGTGCTGGTGGGAGAATTTTGCTCATCTCCAACCAGCTCTGCACCTTCTTTTCTTCTGCAACATTCACTGCCTGAAAAATTCAGGTTTTTTTTTTCTTTTTCCCAAAAGATGTGTCTGAGTTGGTGTGTTGTTTTTCTTCACTGTGGAAGCCCCATGGATTGTCTTTGCAGCTGGATGGTACCAGAAAAAGGAGGGTTTTTAGGGAAGACTTATACCTCTGTGTCCTTTATCTTTGCACAAAACTTGTTCTTCTAGTTGAGACCTTGCCAGCCTTGGGGTTTGGGACCTTACGTGTAGGCGTTGTAAATGGGGTTTCAGAAGCCATAGCAGAGCAACATTTGAATTCTTTGGGTGTCCCAGGGGGAAGACAATACATATGCAATAAATTGCAGGTGGAGTCTCTGCTTTTCTTATCCCTCTCCCACTCTACTCCCTTTAATTAAAACACCCCTGGAGGCTGTTCGGCGAGTGAGAGCTCCTTTGGGATGTTCAGGCAGTCAAAACCCCCAAGGACAGGCAGTCACTGAGGGATGTTTGCTTCCACAGCTGCGCAATCCAAAATTGCTTGGTGTGACTGGAGAGCTCCCATGGGCACCTTGCACTTGTGTAATGTAACAGGGCTACATTGTGGTGTCCTTAAAGGGAACAGGCGGCCTGCCTGTGATCCCTTGGGAGGAGGAGAACTGCAGTAGGTGTGTGGACTGGACAGCTCCAAGCTTAGTTGTTCCTGGGCTGGTGAAAGGGCCATCCCTGCCATTAATTTGTACCCCTGTTCAGAAGACCAGGACGCTGGCTCTGGCTCAGATCCTCCTTTCAGGGAGCGTGGAGCGGTTCTTGCGACAGCGCTCCTTCTCTGCAGACATCCGCTGGCAAGAGTGGAAGGAACGAGGGATTTTGGAGATGGTCAATATCCTTAGTTTCCATGGTGCACAGAGACATGATGTGGGGTGGAGGTGTGCTGTGAGCCTGCCGTGTTTCTCTCTGCTAGATCCCCCTCGCATCCTTACTCTGGAGGAGCCGGTGCTACACCTGGAGCACTGCATTGCATTTGCAGTGCATGGGAACCCAGCTCCCACCCTTCACTGGCTGCACAACGGCCAGGTCCTCCGGGAGACAGAGATCATCCACATGGAGTTTTACCAGCAAGGGGAAGTGTCTGAGGGTTGCCTGCTCTTCAACAAACCCACTCACTACAACAATGGCAACTACACGATCGTGGCCACCAACCAGCTGGGCTCAGCCAACCAAACTATCAAAGGACACTTCCTTGAAAAGCCCTTTCCAGGTAGGATATTCAGTTTATCTCATTAGGGTTCCCTGCAATCTGAAGGTCTTACTGTGGCCCTACCAATAATCCTTGCATCTAAACAAGGCCTTAACCCAAGCTGGCCTTTGTTAGAGCATCCGGTTGGAAGAGGTGAACTCTGGAAGCCTCTTCTGACTAGTGTGATTTTCCTGTTCAAGTATACTTTGGTGTCATTTCAGCTCTTTAATGCTGGCAGAGATACTGACTGGTTTAGATAAATTTGTTTTTGTAATATATTCTGCGGTGTATTTATTTATTTATTTTAAAGATCTTTAGGAATTTCAGTGGGAATAGGATGTAAGTTTGGCCAATTATTTTGGGTCTACTCTTGGGTGTCCCAAAGAGGTTGCTCAATTTTTTTGAGAGAAAGTATTCTGCTACATGGTAGTTATAAGCTGTAGAAAGGAAAGCCCTTTGAAGTCATGCAGCTCTTCCATTTCTTTACTTCTAGCTTGCATTTGTGAAATGATTAAAGCTGGATGCAGCAGTGTCAGGATTGTTTTCTTTCTGAATGCGGTATGTGCAATTCCAGGATGACAGGTCTACAAAAGATGCAACGGCTCAATTAGTCACTTTGCATCAGTTTGCTGGCATTTCTTAACTGATTGCTTGGAATTCCCTGTTGTACTCCCTGGTGATTCAGAGCTTAGCTAAAAAAAAAAAAAAAAAAAAAGAAATGGCAAGCATTTGAGGACATAAAGATCCAGCTCTGGGGAGTGCAGCAGAGACTTTTGTGGAGGCCTGTGTGCTTTATGGGAGCATCTTGGTCTGCTCTCTGATATTGCAACACCACACTGGCCATCATGGAGTTAAGATCTGTGCTGCCTTCAGGAATGATGCCGTGAGAAAGTGGCAGCTCTAAATTGGCCCCTGCAGCCCAAGAAAATCCAGCAAAATAGGGCGTTTGCTAAATATAGAAAAATACCAACGGTACTCTCATTTATTATTTATATCACACCATATATGTACACAGAGTTTTCCCGCAGGTCAAATATCATAAATGCAAACCCGAATCTCTGCCTTGAAGATCTGACAATTGAACAAATGAGCTGATATGGATAGGAGTGGAAAATTTGTATTCTGACTTCAAGGATGCTGCCCTGTTTGGATATTTGACCTATTTATGTTTCTTTCTGTCAGGGCAGAAGAGCAGCTTATCAAATGTAGGTGGGTGAGGAGAAGCAGACAGGTTTGCAGTCTCAGCTCTCTCAGGTCCCACCTTTGTGACTCAATTTCCCCATCTGTAAAATGGGAACAGCTCTTAAGTAGGTGCTGGATCTCCAGAAAAGAAGCAGATATGCCATTCTGGAGAGCTGATTTTGGAAATGGATCTGAGCCATCTGAGCTGTGATGTGGGAAAGCACAGTGATGTTTGAAGACCATCTCATGTTAGAGGCTCTGGGGGAATGGGATTGTGTGAAACAAATGTAAAATACTGCTCTTGTGAGTGTACCTTCACCCATGCCTTGTGTGTACTGTTGGTGTGGAGTGCTTACTGCCCCTGAACCATCTCTCAGCAGGAGCTGACCCATTTCTTTTATTTCTTCTGATCCAAAGTCCCAAGCCATTCCTCACCCTGGCAGCCCCTCTCAGCCCAATGCAGGATGTAATTTACTTTCCTTGAAGCTTGTTGCTTCGTCCACTACCACAGCTGACATAGACACTCAATGCAGTTGACGTTTATAATTTCCCATTTGAAGGTAGATTCCTTCAGAAAATGCCACACATTGAAGGTTCCCCAGTGTGATTCATTGAAGCCCTCATTGCCTACAGCAATTCAAATGTGCAAGGACTTTGCTGTCAGTACCCAGGATGAGGCTATTAGTCTTAATTAATTAATGAAAGCATAGTGCCTGGAAGACTTCCTATCAGCATAGAAAAGGACCTGTGCTCATATATTTTAGAACCCCCTAGTTGAAAACCTCCCATTGGTACCATGCCACACTGTGTTTTCCAGGCCGAGAGGAACAAGGTACTGTTAGAAGCTGGGTGGAAGCTGGGAGATATATGCTACATGTCATATCCCCCTTCTCTCTGATGCTGTGTTTGTAGCAGAAAGGGCAGTGGCTCCCAGAACAGTTTTGTGTCATATCCTGTAAAAATCTTGTTGCTTGTTGTCATTGGTATCTCTGCCATAGGCTACCATCTCCCTATTTAATCCACAAAGGTCAGTGTACCTGTGATGAGTGTTCAGTACTTGGGGAACTTCCCACAGAACTCAAGTTGTCAGAAATTTCTTTGTTATTTTTTATGCTTTGAAAAATAGGGTTCACTGGAAAAAAACCCAAACAAACCAACCCTTTTTGTGGGTTTCTGTTGAATTTGCTTTGTCCCGCAGAGAAAAAATGGAAAGCTGAAAATGTAGAAGCAGCAAGAATTTTATGACTAGACTCTGTCTACCTTAATAGGAAAAAAAGTCTCCAAATAAAATATTTCTTCCTTCCCTCCCCCCACCTTTTTGCTAGAAAAAACCAAGGAAAGTTACACTTCTGCTCAGCTTGAAACAAAAATATTTTTTCAGGTTTTTCCCCTGTTTTGGAAAGCTGTGTTTGTCACCCGGGGATTGTTTTATGCTTCCCTTCCAAAACTCACCCAATACTTCAGCATGAACATTTCAGCATCCTTCCAGGAGCCCTCTGCCAGCAAAGCTGTGTAAACTCCAGTTAATATCGGGCTCAGTTTCTTACACGGGCGAGTGAATTGAAAGCTGACGTTATTCTCACGCTATGTAAACTGAGTGTCACCGAGGGCTTTAGACCTCATTGTCTGGGGCCTCGGCCACCTTCGGAGCTGAAAGGAGCTTTCCTGGATAGACTGGAGCAGTCAAGAGGCTGACAGCAGGGACTGGCACGGTTGTCTCAGGCAAGAGGCAGCTCTAGGACAGCCACAGCCTCCGTGCCCGGTTCAGGTGCTATTGGTTGCTATGAACGCCTCATGAAAGCAGGTCAGAGGTCTCTAAGCCCCAAACTGGGCTCTCCTCCATGGGAGTTGGTACTTGTAGGACTTTGTCCTTGGGTGAACACTGCCATGTAAAGCAAAATCTGCTTCTCTCCCCTCCACCTCCATCCTGCCCAGCCCTGCGTTTCTGTTGAGCTTTGCTCGCCTGCTGGAAGCAGAGTTGTTTAACAATCATTCAGAAGAGTGGTTAGTGTGCTGCCACTTGTTCTCCTTGTTGGCCTCACAGTAGTATCCTTCCCCTCTTCTTTCAGCCCAGGGTTCTCCATCCTGGCCTCCAAGTGTGCCCTGCTGGCACATGCACTACAGTTTCCAGTTACAATTGCCCGAGAGGAAAAAATATGAAAAGTTGGTTTCCTGGGCTCTTTGGGGTGGTGAAATGTGTCTGAGGTGGGTTGGGAATGAGACCCCTCTCCCTTTGCTGTGCCGCTGACTGTGTTGTTTCTCTCTTTGTCCTTTCCACAGAGAGTACGGACAACTTTGTCTCAAGTAAGTGTCTCATTGCCTTTTGCATACTGTGGCTGGTTTGTTTCTTTGTTTTTCTCCTGCCCCTCTGTGATTTACATATTCCTGGAGGAAAAATCAGGAAGCCAGAAGCAGTTTGGTGGAGGTTACACAAAGCCCTGGCTTCCTCATGAATGAGCAAGGTGCCTGGGGAGCTTCTGATGAGTTGAGTAGTCTCTAGAGACCAGGAGATGCTCATTTCCATCTAGTGATGTCTTGCAGAAGGTCCTATAAAGGAAATGGTGGTTGGTTGTGGTGTAGCAAAGGGGTCTTAAGTAGATGCAGTCTGGCCAGTCCTCAGTGACCTCTTTCTAGGGTGGACTGAGACAAGAAACAGGAATTAACTTCTGTAGAGTTTCCACAAGACATTCTTCCTACATCTCCCCAGAAAAAAACAACCCCCAAAAACATCTCAAAAAAGCATCCAAGGTACTGTTTCTACTAATAAAGTTCTGCTGGAGGCACTCTTGTGTTTTAACCCTACTTAGTCCAGTAGATATTTGAAAACTAGGAGATGGCTCAAGAGTGGAGGGTACCCACTCTGAGACACAAGGCTCCCACATGTTTCCCATTTGTAAATCTGGAGTGACATCAGCACAGTGCCAGTCTGTGTTTTCTCTGCTAATGTGTGTAGGGAACTCTCTGATGGTTGATTTGTGCCTTCTGAAAAAGAAAGTTGCAGCCTCTGTTAGGGGTGAACTGGATCTCGTTAGGTCGGGCCACTGGAATATGCTGGGTGCCTTGGCAGTCCCCTGTGAGCCACACTGAATCTTCTGTCTTTGGTGTTTTGGTTTCAGTTGGGGATTATGAAGTGAGTCCCACCCCACCGATCACTGTGACCCACAAACCAGAAGAGGACACTTTTGGGGTGAGTCCTGGTCTCTGCTCTACCGAACTGTTTTGCATGCATTCCTTGTAACTGATGACTCAATATTTGCGCTCCTCTGCTGTTTTGAGTGTTTGCAAGGAAAATCTCTTCCTTTATGACTCAAGGCAGCAATCAGAAGGATTTTGTGGCTTGTGTGTCAGACAGGTAAAATACTACCATGAACCATCTGATCCTCTTGGGTCTGCAGTGTGGGACCTGGGAGCGCTTTGAAATCGAGGCATCCTATGAAGTCACTGCTGGCAGGGTCAGAAATTCTCACTCTAATAAAGTAGCACCCAGAGAACAAACAAACAGGCAGTCATGTGTTTCAGACTGTTATTGATCTGTTAAGTTTAGCAGGATGAGGGACTCAGATTTAGCTTGGTTCAGTTCTGTCAGTACATGTTTGCCCTCCCTCCTGCTGTGCAGGGCATGCCTAAAATGAAAAGGGAAAGAAAGCCTAGGGCTTATCAGATTTCAGCATTGTCTTTCTTCTGCAGAATCCAGGTAGAAAAAGAAAAATTAGCATGTTACACAATTGTTCTAATTATGTGAAAGTTTTAAGATACTGAAACCCACCAGAACAAACAAAACTCAGTCCACAGTGGCTTCAGTTCTCATCCATCTGAAAACCTCCTATAACTGAAGTGAAAGCTTTGAACAGTAAGGCTGGAGTAATAATGTGCACTGATTATTAAATATAAAACACAGAAAACAAGCTGGGGATGAAAATAGAGTGTGCTAAAATAAAAATTTAAAAATATCATAACAAATGTACCAAGAACAGGGGAAAGAGTTGCAAAATGAAATTACTTTTTCTTGTTTAAATGATGTATTTTCTATTATAGCAGAATGCAGTTTTGTAAAAGGAAGCAAGGTCTAAATGCATCACAAGACCCAGTACAGAAGAATTGGACAAATGCCAGAGAAATTGTTGTTTATATCAATGCAATAAAAGTAGCTCGAGCAAAGACTTGAAGGAATAAATATTCATAAATATTAAAATAAGCTTGGGATTGTAAGCCCTTTAGGGCAAGGAGGTTTTCTTTCCTCTGCTTGCACACTGCCACAGTGGAATCACAGTTCCAGTGAAGGACTTGGACAATACTGTAGTATCAATATTTACTACTAAAAATTACGATAAATAGGGAACCATTAGAGGCTTTTGGAAACCCAGATGTTTTAGAGGGAAAAAAACCTCAGTTCTACTTAATTTTTTCTGTTCTCTTTTTGTGGTATGTTATTTTCCCCTCACTCTTTGTCCTGAGGGATGTTTGGATGGAGAGAGAATTGCTCTTTCTAAAGATTTTTTGCTGCTCCTGTGTGTTCCCAGCTGACGTTTGTATAGCTTTGGTGTTGTAAGGTCATGGCACAGTGCTGATGTCAGAAACGGAGGCTTGGGATGTGGTGAGTGCAGGCACTGGAACAGAGGTCCTTCTTCCCTGCAGATATATGGACGGAGGGTCTGGGGAAAACTGGTGCTGAACAGCATCACTGTTGGGAAGATCCCAGACCTCCCAGTTCTGGAAACAGCCTGTGATCCTTCCAAGCTGTGCCAGAGCCCTCTGCTTTAGCTTGTGTTTTCCTCCATAGCTGGGCTGCAGTAGGTGGTATGAGCCTACAGAAACTGGGCAAGGAGGTGCTATATTTCCAATTTAGACTCTTAAATTCCTCTCTCTTGACTCTAAGGCTTTTTCCTTCCAGGTTTCCATAGCGGTTGGGCTGGCAGCTTTTGCTTGTGTCCTCTTGGTCGTCCTCTTTATTATGATCAACAAGTATGGCCGGCGGTCCAAGTTTGGGATGAAAGGTAGGTGCAGTCACTTTCCCCTAGCAGGAGGCACCTTCCAGGATTGCCCGGCTCTTATAGCACACATGGAAAGGTGTTGTGGTTTTATTCCTACATTGCCAGTGTTGGTGCAAAGCCTCCTAAATAGAACGTAACCCTCTTCAGTTTGTTGAGAGAGTAATGGAGATACGTGGGCTGGTGGGTCTCACCTGTATGTGCTTCTGCGGGCAGAAGTGTGCATGTGTGTTCCTTATCAGTACTTAACTGCATCTACAGGCTGCCCAGGAGAGCTCTGAGCCTACTCCCTCCAGCCATGTGTTGAGGGAGTTGTACTCAGGGCAGCATGCTCTTGGGTGAAACCTTTTTTGTGGACTTGGTGGTGCGTGGGCTTCCCCTGCGCTGGCTCCAGAGCGCAGTGTGTGAAGGGGCAGGGACAGAAGGTCATGAAATTGTTTTAGGTTCTGTTGAAAAGGCAAGTGGACCCACTCTGTGACTGTCTGTGGGTGGGGACAGAGATGCTGCTGTCAGTTTGTAATGTCCATACTGGGAGGGCAGTGGTGTGGAAGGTCTCTTTCTGCTGCTTCTCTGATGAAAAGTTTCCTTCTCTGCGTCACAAAATAATGACTTTAAAAACTTATTCAAGTGTTGTTGATAGTGACTGGAAAGTGAGAAGGCATCTGATATTTGCCAGGCAGAACTGGTCTCTGCGTCCTACCGACACCAGCTCTGTGATGTGACAGAGCTAATGCCAGAGTAATGATTCTGTGCCATCTGCTTTCTGTGACTCTGCTGGTATCTCCAGTTGGGCAGCGTTGGTGGTGCCCAGTGAAGGCTGGAGGAAGAGCCTTCCCATGACAAAGTAGTTCCCAGCCTAATTGGTGGCTCATGCATACACTGTTTGAAGCCAGGCTTTGACAAACACAAGCTTCTCCCAAGGCTCCCGAGTCAGAGCCTGTTTCCTGGCCTTGCTGTGGTCTGTGCTGCAGGGCAGGTTGATGGTTTTGGGAATGCTCCTTGTGCTTGCCCAGGGCTTTGTTTGCTTTACGTAGACATTTCCTGAGTGGGTCCAGATGGGATTCTGGCTGGAGTTTCTCCTATGCATCCTATGGAGATAGAAGACAGGACATTTAATTAAGTAGTGAATCCTCTACACCAACTTAGCAATATTTAGTCCATATGTCCAATGATAAGAACCATCTGGTGGGGTGTACTGACTAGTGGGTGGAGTACAGGAATGGAAGACACGGTTCCTGGGATCAATTCCCAGCTCTTCTACTGACTCAGTGTCCATAGGCAATTAGCTCTCTTAACCTCTGTCTCTGCTTTAATTTCCCCATCTGTAAAACTGGGATGATGTTACGTGCCTTCTGGAGGGATTTGTCAGAACACTTTGGAAGTGCTTTGGGCCACTGATGGAGCTTAGAGATACAAATATAAAAAGGAAAAGTAACATCTGACCCTAATGGAAGAATCAAAGAGGAATGAAGTGAGCCTGATGTGAGTAATGAGTCTTGGTGAACAGATGTGTGTATGTGTTTAGAGGTGTTTGGATAAGCGTGTCAGTGGATATTTTGCATTCCCAGAAAACAACGGGATGCCGTGATGGGCCCTTGTGTGTATGGTTTTTGGGAGGCAAAATTGTTTAACCAGAAAAGCTTGCTTTCATCCTTATTATTCTGTGTTTCTTCCAATTTGGATATAAAACCACAACCCTGCAAAGTTTCTACAAGTTTTATTGACATTGCTTGGAGAGATGGAGTTGACAGAGCCTAAGTACATTTTTAAAAAACAGATAACTCATTAAAGGGTTACAAATGTCATAGGCATTGCCTACTCACACTGCCCAAACTCTACTCCCTGTTTGAGGTTGAGAATTCTCATGCCCTGTGGACAGTTTCCCTAGCACATGATCTTATCTACTCTGAGCTTTCTGTTTTTCCCCAGCATCTCTTCTTCCTTAATGTTTTCTTTAGCCCTAACATCATTGTCAGCTGCTATACTACCAGGCTTTGCCTGTGTCTCCCTTTTTTGCATCAGGCTTTCCTCAGAGTCCCTCACTATCAGTCAGTTCTTGCGCAGGAGCTGTCCTTTATGGCACCCAGCATGTTATCGTTTACTAAGGAAAAAAAAAATTCCAAACCCTGAGTCTTTTTGGGAAAGTTCATCATTGCCTGATTCAGGAGCTGTTCACCGCCAGCTGATATGTTGCCACTTGTTGAAATCCCAGCTTGGCAGGCCTGCAGGAGCAGGTTTTTCCTGTTGTTTTTGTCACGGATGCAGAACATTGTGTACTCGTGTTGGACACGTTACCCACAGCACCTCATGAGTCTTTCTGAGAACATCTTTTTCCTTCTGCTTCTCCTAGTGTTCAGCAGATGGTTTATTTCTTAGAGAGAGGTGAACTTGGACTGACAAGGTTGGATGTCAACGTTGAGTTTGGAAGGCCCCCTGGGCCAACCTTCTGGGTTGCCCATGAACCTTAGAACCAGACTAATGGGCTGCCAAGTGTCCAACACCCCCGCTGCCTTTGCTGTAAAGAATGTTGCTGTGTCTTGATGCCCGTGTGCTGGGGGAGGACTATGAGAGGACGGAGTGTCCACATTTGTCCTCTTCTGGCTGGTAGCACACCCTTGGAATGTTGCACCAGGGACCTGTCAGAGCCACCGCTCTGCTTACGACCCAGTTACTGATCCAGCAGCAGCCAAGCGGTGGGAAAGCCTGCGGTGCCAAGTGTGCCGACGATGGGCTGGAGCAGTGGCACCAACAAAAGCTCCTTTGAAAGGGGCTCTGACGCGCTGTGCTCCTCAGCTGAGCCCGCAGAGGCTGGCTGGGCACCATCCCCCTCGCCTTCCCCTGCTCCCCCCAGAGAGGGCATTCATTAACACGGAACGGTGGAGGTCAGATCCTCTTTCTGGCCGCCTGTCGGTTTTGGCTCCCGTAGCTGGGAGGGAACAGAGGGTGGGCTGAGGCAGCTGGGGGGAGCTGGGAGATCGCTGGAGCTGGGCTGGTGGAGGCGGCAGGGAAATGGCAAACAAAGCTCCTTTTTGTGAAAAAGTTACATGGGCAACACAGAGGCAGTGGGGGGAAAACCGCTGGGAAAAGTGAATGTTAAAACTGAGACACATTGAAGTTGCAGAAATGGACTGCAACTGCTTGCTGAAGGGTGATGTATTCTGGGGGTGGGGGCTAAGATGCTTTTTAAAGCCTTATATTATTGTGGGAAAAAGAAAAGGGTATTGCCAAACACAAAATTTGGAGTTCGAATCCTTTGGTTTACTGTGTGTCCCAGGGGAATTTTTTTTTTTTTTTTTCGGGTGGGATATACTGCATGGGAATAAGGAGCCTGACATCCTGCTTGCTCCAACTCTGAGCTCGGTGTCCCGCGTTCCCTGACTGCCCACCCAAGGTGAAGGGATTTACACCTCACCTTCTGGGGTCAGGCTTGTCACTGCAAGCCTTGTAAACTGTGTCTTCCAATCAAAGTTTGATCCCAGCAGATGACAGGAAATGAAATCTCATAATATAATAAAAAAGCCACATGCAAGTCCCGGGACTAACAAAAATCAGATTTCATAAAAGAACAACAATGGCACAGAAAAATTCTGTGACATACAAAACATTTGGATGTCACAGCTATGGAGGCAGTGTAAATGCTGAGGTTGATGGACTCAATATATTCTCCTTTTACTTGTTTTCTCTTATATTTGCAAGTGCCTTGGGATAAAGAACGTGTGCTCATGCATATATGTGTGATGTATTCCTGGTGCTGCACAACTTCAATAAAAACCAAATTGAGTTAGCTGAGATATGCAGAGAAAGGTGCTAGAGAAAATCCAGAGACAAGAGCACTTGTCGTTTTGTTGAGATGAACTCCTTTCCAGGCTCTGAGATTAAAAACTACTTGCATTCTCCAAAAGAGGTTTTCTTCATCAGGTCAACCAGCGCCAGCTAATGGTTCAGACTTGGTTACAGTTGGCAAAGGGTCAATTGATTTTTAATCTGATTTCCAAAAGAAATAAGGCATGATCATGCTGCCTCTTTGCACACATGCAGGCATCTGTGTACATCTCTGCCTGCCTGGATTTTCCCTTTTTGTGCTGCAGCTTTTGGATCTCTGTTTCACCCAGAGGAGAGGGGAGAGAATTAGAGATGCCTTTTCAGGCATCATGGAAATAAGGGAGCTAAACAGAATGACAGCTCAGGTGATGCTGCACCAGTAAAAATGCCTTAAGCCTTTCTGGGCATCAGAGAATTCATGTGGAATCTCTGCCTTGGACAGGAAAACTAAGCACAGGGGATAAAGCTTTCATGGGGTCTGCTGTGGTGGGTAGTGTGTACGTCTGTACACATGCACATATATGTTTTGTTTGTGAATAAGCACAAACAGCCAGGAGATGGGGGAGAAATGAATGAACAGTAAATAAATACTGCCCATGCTTTCTGTAATGTTTGAGAAATCACATCACTATCAGTTCATTTGATATTTGCTCTAATAGCCCTGATCAAAGTGCTGGCACTGCTGATGTGCCTGTGGATGTCAGAAGTACTTGCAGAGCTGTTCCATTGTAATTTAGTGTTAGTTAAAAGGTACTTAAAGCAGTTGCCCATTTGATTTTGATTGGGGGTTATTAACATTTTTTTCCATAAACAGATGGCAACTGTCCGCTGAGTCGATTGCAGAACAGTTCCAGAGTTCTGATTCAAGAGGACCAGCTCGTGAAAAAATATCTTGGGCGCCTGTCTTTTTGGTTTTGTTGATTTGGGTTTTTTTGTTTTGGTTTGGTTTTTTGTGGGGGTTTATTTGTGTGTTTTTTTTTTCCTCCTTCATCATGCAATTATCACCTTTAAAGGGCAAAAAAAAAAGTAATATATGAGAGCCCTGACCTGCTTTCAGATGAGGCTTAATTGTGTCCCATGTTTCCTTGGCTAAACTTGGCTATAATCATATACTGATTCCCCCCCCCCAATTATTTGTTTGCAGTTGTATGGGCATGAAAAAAACCCTCTGCAAGTTGGATGAC